AATGCCGCGGCATTTCGTTGATTCATCACATCTAGCAAAAAAACCATTCAGAGAGCTTCAAAGAGATGCTTTGTGAGCAAAATGCCGATGGATGAACAAAAATGTTTCAGTAGGTTACGAATGACCTATTCTTTGTCGCCGTCGGCTAATTTTACCGCTGATCAAAGAAAAAGCTTCCTAAGATCTCCGACCTGTTCTATGACGAAAACAAAGAGATCAGTTTTTGCGCTGGAGGATTTGTTCTTTGAAGTAGAGCAACCTCGTTCTAATAATGTGATTTGAGACACGAGTTCGGCCACAAAATGTCCTTGCCCGGTGACCCGCTGGTACTCAGCTAGCGATATGACAGCTGATGTTGCTCGGAACCTGCTATGTACTCGCTTTTGAATACTTGGGCTAGCGGGCCCATTCACGCAATTAGTGGATACATTAGAGGGTTTCACATTGATTCGTCGTTATCCAAAAGGGATTTCGTTTCTGCTTTGCACTTTTAAGACACTCTTGTTAAGTTTATCGATTACGCGCCAGGCGTTTCTTGACTACATAGTGCGTTTGTACACTTAATTTTGATCGCTATTAGTAGAGTATGTCCTTGGTACTTAGTGGATTAAATACTTGCTGTCTGAAATGCATGTGAAAATAATAGAATTCAATAAATGTGTAACAAAAAGTATCCATTGAGAAGCTCGTGGGTGGGGCTTGCACGCAGACCGAGCTAGAACACTACTGCTCTACAAATGTAATGGGCTCATACCTCTGTGAGACCACGACGAGCTTAGCAGACCACGAATCTCGGAGAATCTTTCGAAGTATCGTAAGTGGTGTTGGTTAGTTTGGGAGTATTTAATGATTACGAATTAGGGACTATGAATACTCACACAAGAAATTGTCAAGGACAGTAAGAGAACTATTTTTTCAGTAGAAACTGTGGACGGTGCGAAGCAAGTGTTTAGAAACATTTCTATAAATACATCCATATCTTGAATTTTGAGTTGCATCGACATCCCGCCGGGAACATGAGAAGACGGTATGGGTGATTGCGCTACCATATGTTTCGCTACAATTCAAGCCCAGGGTCAGATCACCGCGCCGGGTATATTTTTTCGCCAGTGAAGAGAATTTTTCTATTTTCTCTTTCTTTTCCTGAGAGCTAATCAGTATCCTGGATCATCGACATGAAGAAATTCTACAGTATCGGTCCTCCCTAGAAGCATAGCTCAAGAAGGATCCCTCTGAATTCTGGGCGAGCATTGCGATTCTGCCCCTGACTTTAGAGCCGTTGAGGGCACTGTCATGACATCCCTCCTGTCTAATGCTGTTACGAAAAGCTGAACAAAGTCAAGCATTCAATGTCATATCATATGTACTAGAGGAAAGAGTCCGTTCCTTTCACCTCTGCCTTCAGCGACTTTTGCCATGCTTTTCATGGCCACCTCGGGGCACCAGTTTACTAAAGTGTACTGATTCAGAGAAGTCAACTTTAGGAGTTCCACTGAAAATGAGGTTTTAGAATTTGATTAACTTTCAAGCAGAAGAAGTAGTGAATATTCGCCATTTTTATTGAGCATTTTACAGCTACTCTGTTGCCCCTTACATGTATGGCCTTATGATGATGGCGCAGACCATCAGGTACGTTCTCTTCGTGTGTTGCCCTCATTATCAAGCACTAGCTCAAAGACCTTCAGTGTGTTCATGACTGTGGGAGTGTCGGTGCATCGCTACATCGGCGTGTGTCATCCGTACAAGTCAGTCGAGTGGCTTCCGAAGAAGCGTGTCACCACATTCATCATCAGCCTCGTCGTATTCAGTATTCTATTCAATACTACACGCTTTTTTGAGGTAAGAAAGCAGTTATCACTCGCTATCGATCCGCTAACGCTTCACAGGCCGATGTGTAAAAGAAAAAACTTTCAGTGGAGTTGTAGAGTTTTTATCGACTTTCCACACCTTCCCTCCCCTTCCCCCGACATACATTGATCTGGAATTGTCTGGCTTTTTTATGTCATGTTGAAAATGTCTAGATGGGGGGGGGGGGATTTTCAAGACGAACTGCAAATTGGCGAGCATTGGTTAATCTTCGTAAGACTAACGTACCAAAGTTCGGCTCTGACTACGAGCTGAAAATGAGTGATTACTAGGCAATAGCGCTGTTGGGTCTCCTGATTTTTGACATAGCGGTTTACGCATTTTTTGGTATGTATCTTACCATGTAGCGGACAAAGAATTTTCTTTTCGGCTACTTGACAGGAGTTAAACCCCTCAAGGTGGAAAGCACCGATTTGCCCATCCGCTGGTCCATCAAGATAGTGTCCGTTATATGCAAGGTTCAGGCTCAGCCTCAGTGTAGTGGTCGCTCTCCTGGATAGAGGGGTGCGGTTCACCACTGCAGGATTGCACCATATTCGCAAAGCGAAATGCAAAGACGCTAGGTGTTAAGAATTTGGATTAAATCCCACGAAGTATCAGTATTCATCCCGTTCGACATCCTAACTGGTGGCATAGTTGATCTGCTATGCTCTCTCTAATCTGAGGTGAGCTCTCTTACCTTTTTCACCACTCTTATTATCTCTCATCCTCGTACCGCCTAAGCTTACCATTAGACTACCTGCAGAGGTGGAGCAAGAATGTCGTTTTTTCCTCTTTTTTCTCCACTCGCAGTCCAGCTCCCATCCCTACTTTCATAGTTTGAGATCACCGCATCGATTCTTCCCCTTAAGGTTATGTATTCAAATTACTTCGATTTAATAGAACTTAAACGCGTGGCCAAGTCAAGAGTGATCGATCAATGCCTTGTTCTTCACCCTTTTTCTCCAAACTAGTGCTTATGAAAAGTTGTTAGCTTGTGTCTTGGTCTCATAGGTAGTCCATTCTAGGTCCAAGTGGCGAATGTGTGCTGGCGTCTCAACATCAATTACTACATGCCTTCTTTACAACCAACTGCACTGCGACTTTCAGACTTGTACAGGTTACGTGCTTTTATGACACTTAAGGTGTATTGCCCTGAAATAACATCGATGTCACTATTCAAAAAAAAACAACAAAACAATGAAATAAACGCTTAACATAGTAGCTTTTTGTCTGGCTGAGGTCATCTTTCAGTGCACTTTTCTAATACAATTTTCTGATGGTTGCTTCACATTTTTTACTGCTCATCACTCAATCAGTAATTTCAGGAATATCTTCTTCGGATGGGCGTACACAATAGTGATGTATGTGGTGCCGTTCAGCCTGCTTATTGTCCTGAATTCGCTGGTCCTTTCAGCGGTAAGACGCAGTCGTCGAATGCATATGGTCAGTCAGGTGAGGCCGATACTCTTTCTTTCCGTGTTCGACCATGCAGCTGCATACTCCGTCAGGCTTTGTCTGCATCAGTGCCAAATCCATTCGCTATATTAATATTGAGTCCAGTTCTACAGCGTGTGTTAGTTTCTTTGCCCTTATCAAAGCACCAGTCCCTGCAGGGTCCATGCTCTCAGCCTTCAATACTATGGTGGGGAAATAATGCGTTAGCCTTTGTCCGGAACATAAGAATGGTCGCTGAACAAAAGAACTCACTCGTGAAGCCGTTAGAAGGGATTTGAACGTGCTCCAACGCCTTAACAGCTGATTTTTTGGCTCCGCTCTTTTGCTAGCCGTTTGGCTGCAATCGTTTCCTGACTACAGGGACTATTTGACCTCTGTTCCTTACACCGTTCAATTTGATGTTCCCGCCTGCGCTCGAATTCTGAGTGCTTCCTGACAAAACCTGCGCCGTTTTGTCTCAGAAACTGTAATTTTGAAGCTATATGTTTCTTTCTGGGCGGAAGTGGTGTAGTGGCAAGTGGCACGCTTACCACGCGAGCGGTCCGGGGATCAAATCCTGGGTCGTGAGTCGCCCGGGCCAACCAAGCCTTCCATCCCTCCGGGGTCGGTTAATTGGTACCAGACTTGTCTGGGAGGATAAAAACACTGACTTGTACATCGGCTGGCCCCGCAAGTCATTGTATAGGCCACATCGCATTCAAACGCCACTACGAATGTACAAATGGAAGTAGAATGCGTGCCGCATCCCAAAAAGGGATTGATCAACGGCAAATGCTTTATCTTATGCTTTTTATGCTTCTTTTTAACAATGGGAATCAGTTGGAGGTCTCAAGGAACAACGGTTCTTGACAAGCAAGTAAACACAACTCGTCCGGCGCGCCCTTTCTTATTTCAAGGGGGGACAGAGGGAGTCCTTGTTTAAGGACTTCATTTAGGCGGTTTTCTTCGTTTCTTTTTTCACTTTCAGCGAACTCGGCATCAACAACTACATTATCGACCACTTCTACCCCGCGAATTAGATCTAGAACTGTTGCTTCAAGCAATTCGCAAATTCATAGCCGCGAAGCGATCTGATCTTCAGTAAAAGAGGTCGTGATAGGATTATGCCTCTCACAGCTTGCCTTAGGCGGAGGCAGTGTAGGCAAATGGAGCCGCTTACCACGTCCATGGTTTGAGAATCGAAGTCCGGATGGTATGAAGTCACTGCAAGCCAAGCCTTTCGGATCAGATCGCTTAATTGTACCAAAGTTATCGGACAGGATGAAATATTTACGCTTGTCTCTGCCACTTCTTTACTGTGTCAATTAATCGCATTCAAACGTCACTACGATTTTAGATGGAACTAGGATACGTGGCGAACACCAAAATGCGACTGACGAACGCATGATGTTTAATCATTTGTTCACTTTCTCTGCTCTAATGAAGTCAGTAATCATTTTTTGGATTAGCCCAAGTGCAACTACTTGCCCGGAGAGGGGGGGGGCATTGATACCAGAATAGTCCCCATTAATCTCTCGCGATTTCTTTACAAAAAGCCAAAGTGAACATCCAGTGGTGTTCAGGTGTCGTATTTCACAGGACAGGCTTCTCTTCCTTGAGGGCAACTGTTAACGTCTATGAGGCTATCGCAAGATCAGAAATTACATTTATGCCTCAAACATGTGCAAAGAGAAAATAGCATCCAATCGCCCAAATCTGCTGCTCGTCACACGCCAACAGCTTTTTCCATCTGTCTGAGATCAGATATTAATAGTCCGGGAAAGCGGCTTTGGTGACATTTATAGACTTTACGTTTTCAAAACGAATTTGGAAATTGTTCTATTCTAGATTGTCCTAGGAGCTCCGATTTGAAACGAAAGCTCATGCTTATAAGCGCATCGTCCCAGGCAGTTGAGCTTCACTTATTCTCCTTGCTTTAATTCGGCCGCAATCGATGATTCCGGCAAAGTGAACACATCGCGCCCTCTTGATTGAAGTGAAAATATATTTTGTTACCGAAGTCACGTAGCTCGTCGCTTCGTCGAGGGGCTCCGCCGTAGAGGTCGCACCCGAGGCGTTCGAAGGGACTAATGCGAGAGATGCACCAATGCGAGGGGATTCGTTAGCGACAGAAGCACTCGTCAATGACCGTATTGTACAGCACCCATTGAACATAAAATATTTTCATAGCAGCGAGTGCGATAATTTGATTTCGATCACATATGAAAGTAAACGCGTGAAGAACTCGAGGATTCGGTTCCTTATTTTACACGCTGATTGACGATGGCGCAACGCCGCACCTCACTTTCTTTGCCGCCTGTCTAGCGCTTCCGCGCGTGCATGCAATTCCCTTTTGCAGACCCACTGCTTTTGATATGGCATTGCGGTAGCTCTACTGAACTGTAATTTGAGGGCTCCACGCTCCAAATGCTTATGGTTAGCTTTACCGTTTTCTCCTTCCTCTCCAATATGTTGACAATGAGCCCAGTGGACTGGGGACTGTCAGCAAGAATGTTTTCCTGGCAGTTGTTTAAGAGTAGGAGCAGGAGGAGTAATAGCCATGAAAGCAGCTTTGATTGCCTTAAGATTAACGATTAGGTCTACATTACTTTGTAACAATTGATTGGACAGGTGTTATGAGTGTTAGCAGTTTCTTGTGGTGTGCCAAAGTTTAATTCGTTTCCTATCTGACAGATGTTCGCCAATTGGCTCACGTGTATACGTCAATCGTTGAGCTAGCATGTTCACAAAGTGAAAGCTTCTGACAGGGAGAGTTTAAGGTTCGCCAACTGCAGTTGTCTCGGCTCAATGGTAGATCAAAATGTCCATTCGGTTATGCAATGTTGGTGAAAACTACTCTCTCACAAGGGGGGGGGGGTCTTTCAGGGCAAGCTGCGCTTTTTCAAAACGGATTCCTGCATAGTGCAGAGGCCCATGTAGAGAGCACAAGACCATGGTTCATTTTCGCTTAAAGGCAAAGGTCGGGTTTGGTTGACCAAACCAACCCTTTCGTTCAGCTCGTACCTTGTTATCTGCACCCCGTAGAGATGGTCCCACACTCAAAACCCGAAACGGCGCAGTAGGGCTCCAGGGCATGTACTACGCACTATCGCCGCCTGACCCTCCACCCGGATGTGGTGCGTGGCTGGCATAACGTGTGAAATCAGCTAGGTTGATTGCCGTATCAACCGATAGAACGACTGATATCTTCAGAAAACTTGTTTGTACGTGCCTCTTCCCCAAGCCAGCCTCCTTCACTGCTAGTGGGAAAGAGGGTTTTGTTAACGGCCTTGTCGACGGTTTTTCTCAGTTTTTTCTCCACTGTCGTTCTACTTCGCATCTCTATACTCAGTTTCAATCGTCATACCCCCTTATTGAGCCCGACTTTTGCCTTTAACGGCCTCATCAGAACCAAAAAAGGAAGTCCAAGGTACTATAAGGTTTGATCCTCCCAATCCGTAGGCGAAAACCCAAATGCGACTAAATTTTGCATTTGGGTTTTCGCCTACGGATTGGTGCCGATATGGTAATCACAAATGTCAAAATAAAGATGTGATATTCCCATTGGTTTAGTGAAGCCAAAGGTGGCCGACAACCTAGAATGCAAAATTTAGTCGTCACGGGAGCTCGAACTATCGGAGTAACATTTAGAACTTTTTCGTACTATTGAAACCGTTCAGTGAATGTGAGACATGATTTTGTGGTCCTTATATGCGTTCCTACAATATGCAGGGAATCACTTCGGAAAGTTTAATGCTTGAAATTCCATGCCACTGAGGATTCTCCTATGTAGTTGGTGTGATTAACTTGGGGGAAAAAGAAGATCGAGGGGCTATGTTTAACACATTGACGACCGCGCGCGTTTTGGCTTTTTTGGCCGTGTGGGACCGGGCCGATTTTGCGAGTGCGACCGCCGCACCTCGGATCCGTGAATTTTTATTGATAACTTTTTAAAGCACCAGTGGTACAAAAACATCTCAGTAACAGTCAATGCGTAGAAGGTAATAGAGTATATAGTGACGAAGTTCCGATTAAAGAACATGTAATGGTAATGAAAAAGGAAACTTTAGTCATTTTATCTGTAGTGGATGCCAAAAGCTCTTTTGATGTGGTTATACCAAGTGAAACATGTATTTTTCTGTCTCTTTAGATTTGCATTTACTTTCACTACCCTTTTTTATTGACGTGTTCATGAGAATAGCATGAAAACTATTAATGAACCAAGCCGCCGGTTTCGGTGAGCTTGGAAAACTTCTTCTAAACTGGAGCATATTTGAACAAACAATGACCTATGTCGTTCACAATAATGTTATGTTCTAATCCATAGAAGAGAGACAAACAATTCGGGAAAAAGCTGCGCATGCCCTAGAAAAAGGGATGATAAGGGTGAGACGCGGTAACGCGTCTCAATGTCCAACGAGGTGCGCAAAGTGAGACGCGTTACCGCGTCTCAATGTCGTCAATGTGTTAAACGTCAGGCCGTGTAAATATCCATGTACAGTAAAAAACGCACGAACGGGTTCGCTCCCGGCTAATCAACTTTATCGAATACATTTGAGGGCGAATTCAGCACACACAACTGCGAGGGTTTTTTACGATGATATCTTAGTGCGCTTACATCCTAGCTTTGGGTCAATTGCTAATTCAACGCAATACATTTTTTCTAGAGCACTTAAATTTATTTTATTTATTATTATTATTTATTTATTATATAATTATTATTATTTTGAAATTCGGTCGTAGACACCCCGGAAGCGAAGAAGCAGCCTCTGCACAGCTTTGAAATGGTACTGATAACTATAGGTAAATGATCATCACAAATGGCTGCTGTGATATATCGACGCTTACCTCTATTTTCCTCAGAATCACTGAAAAAAATGCTTATGGTATTGTGTGGGACAACTCCGGTGTACGAGACATTTGACAAGGCAGAAAAGCCCATTCTCAAATATCAATTGAGCATTTTAAGCTCATAAAATATCGTCAAAACGCAGAGCTGCAATTTAGCACTTTCTGCATGAGTTAGTGCTTTACATTGTGAACATGTTGAATGCTTTTCGGAACCAGATGTTTGTCGCCAACGTCAAAGTATCATAAATAATAGTTTTCTCGACAAGAATGAGACGAGAATGTGTTCAGGCGTCTTCTTAAATGAAATTATTGCTTATTTTTAGTGCGGAGCCGAGAATGACGAGTTCTCAAAGAAAGCTGAGCGAAAAGAGCGCCAAACATCAATTATGCTCATCGCCATCGTACTGCTCTTCATCTCCTGTAATACCTTGGCTTTCGTCTGTAATATTATGGAGAATTTAGACGAGGTGAGCTGCAGCATTTTCAAAAAGGCCTTTTCGAGGACTAATTGCCGGTTTTTACATGAAGGAAGAAAGCTCTTATTATGTGTTGTACATGGAAAGAGCATAAGAATAACCATATCTGATATCGTGTCATGAATCATGAGTCAATATATATGTAATATTTACACAGGCACTATCAAACATAAAAACTGATGCCTGCGGTCCCTTACTGAAGGCCACACAATTGACTTAGGTGAATATAGGTATGATTAAGTCTTGCTAACTAACCAAATGATCGCAGCGAATGGCAAACGACCCTGGGGTCCTATTAGTGACATGTGACGTATGACAGCGTGGTGATTTCTGTGAATTTAATTAGAGCGGGATGCATGCATGCTTGAGAAATTCCTCTTAGCTATGCAACACAACCAAAATCGAAGGGACCCTATGCATGAAATTTTGGGAAGTTTTCCCTTGTATGGAGTAGGGTGTGAGTGATCAACAAAGCAGTTCAATCCCCTTTTGTGAAATTCGAACTCCATTGATCGCAGGCAGGATTCTACATATGGTTAAAAGGCAAGCCCGGGCTAGAAAAGAGTGAAAGTTGAGATATGCATTTAGTGCGTCAGAGCAGGCACGACTACACTAGGCACGAACCTGACGGGTCCCCTCGCGGCGTGGTTATTTACTAGTGAACCCAATCGCGAGGCTTGCCTCTATCCAGTCGACTCTATGGGTCTTCATAGCCTAGAATTCAGCGTTCCTCGTCATAGCTTGCACCTGGAGCTGAAATTCAAATCACAGTGCCAAATCCGGTTATTGTGGAGCCGTTGAAAGGTGTGGCCTTCAACAAACAGAAGCCTCTATTCGAGCTCTCTTGTATGCTTCTGATCATAAGACTTACCGTGCATTCTCTGATCCAGCATCCAGGATGGAATCTGAAAGTTTCTGGAAGAAATAAACGAATGTAAACAAAAATTCATATCCTTCCATCTTTATCGTGATGTAAGCGTTAAACATGGAAACTCGGTTCAAAAGAAAGGTCCAAAATGAAGTAAGTCAGCAGCTGAAAATCTATGTTTGCAGGTAGGACCGGTATATCAAAGCATGGTGACATTCAACAATCTTCTGGTGAGCCATTTTATTTGTATTATTTTATTATTTATTTTATGTGTGTGCATTCATCACTTCTTCTTCGCATGCAGATCCTTTCATTGAGACTTTTTGATTTACTTTTCTTTGCCAACATTTTTCCCAAATATTCAATTCTTCATGTCAACATGAAAACCGAAATGGTGAAGTTGCTGCCGGGACTGCTAACGCGAGGAGGATGGAGGGGGTATACCCCAGCAATTTTTGGGCTTTAACAGAAGAATTCATATTAGAACCTGTAGTATCTGCTCACCTTTAAATAGTTAACAAGATAAAACAATTCAGGCACTGAACAAAACAATTCAAATAAGTGCGTATAAATTAAAATCCTGGGTATCACATACAATATTAGTTGTGATTTTCGAGGTGTATTTTTTGTCTGCTGCTCAGAATTTGGCACACCTTACCGTTTTTCGCCTTTTTTTCTTATTAGCAGCGAATACCTCGCCCGTTGCGCCTACAGCAAAAGACCCACGCAGGCTCTTTTCGAGAAATGGTTCGCAAAGTCGTACTAGCAAATGAAAGCGCTTTTTCGTCAAGTCGTACTAGCAAATGAAAGCGCTTTTTCGTCAAGGGCTCATTTCACGATTGAAGTAGGTGAGCCACATAAAATGGTGGAATTAGGTATGGCATTTACGACGAACAGTTAACCAAATCGCACCATGGACGGGACCAGCGCAGCTACTGGCGCTTTCCATGGATCAGCTCCACTTTCTTACTGCATTCTACTGTATCAAGAAAGGAGGCGATTATTAAGCGGCAGTCGTGCTGCACATCATCGTGCCATCAGTGCGCAATGTACTTTAATGTACTTTGGAGAGTTCTTATTGGTTTTTTGTGTTTTTTGCTCTCTTCCGTTATGGGTCGGTCTAAACACCGCAATTCCCTATTAGCAATCCACACATACTTAATTGCGAAGTGTGGCTTCAATTGATTGAATTTGCTGACTTGGTTTACCTTACTCATTTTTTCTTATGCCTTAAAGCTTTGTTTAGGTAATGGTGAACGCCTCGTGTAACATATGCGTGTACATGCTGTTCTCCGAAAAATACCGTATGCTGTTGCGTCATTACGTATTTTGCGATTGGTCACGACAAGGCGAAATGCTTATCAGTTCGGTGGCCGGATGATAAGCTGATGTCACGCTGATCGTGTTGATGTTCCTAGTTATTTGTGTATAGAAAGAGGCATCGCTAAGCCGCGTCGTTGCCAATGTGTCTCTCAGCCAAATCGTCCAGCCTTATCTACGGGTTATTCTAGTTCGGCTTCTTTGCACGTTAACGCCACGAGTGAATAATTTTCCCCTCAGAACGCTTTTCTCTTTTCGAATTCTCTTGTGTATTTTGTATAATACAGCATATGTGCGTTTACAGTGTGATACCCTTGAGATCGGCATTTTCTCGTAATAATTTCTTTACTTGAGACGCTAAACGTCGAAACGGCCTGCTGCTGCTTTCACCGTCAGTTTTTCGAATGGTCTTTGCGATTTGTTGTATTTTGAGTCGAGAAACGTATTCGATCGTGTGATTTGCCTTCTCGGGTTTTCTCTATTACATACATATTTTGTTTGTTTGTCGATGCAGTGTAAAAATTGAGTGAATCAAATAAATATGTCAGAAATACGTTGGAATGATCATAGCTTCAGCCTTCCATATAAAATGATTGGAATGATGTTAATAAGAGCGTGAAGGAGACTCAAAGGCAGGCTCCAAGATTAGGAGAGCTCAGCTGTTCCATCCCCGATGCGGAAAGCAAGCGGATGAGGGTTGATGTCATGCCCCTTTTACGGCTCGAAAGTGGGCGGCAAACGTGGTGGAAGCTCGCCCCACCCAAGCAAACTCGTCCAAAATCCACCCTTCTCCATAACAAAGTGGAATGCGGCTGAAAGAGAGGGGTGATTTGTTGCGGCCGTATCCGAGCATTTGTTTATCATTTTATCCCAAAGCTTGCCTTATAGGCGATAGCTTCTGGAGTTCTGGAACGGTGTAGAAGAGACGCGGTAGTGTTCAATGGTACGCTAATGGCAAAAAAAGCCGAGAAATCTGTCAAGAATACACAAAGTAGTACCCCTTACCCGTTCAATTACGACCATGGATGAGCG